TAAATAGGCCAAATTATTGTTTTTGTCCATAACTTGTCTGGTTATGAACTATAACTTAACAAGTTATTATCCATAATTCACGATTTTTGTCCATAATTTGTCTGACTATGAACCATAACTTGATAAGTTTGTTCATAATTTATCTAATTTTATCCTATAACTTAATAAATTATGGTCTATTAATTTCTATAACTAAAAATTGACCTATATACTTTTTTAAATTTTTCATATTGACGTATTTTTTACTATTTCCGTAAAAATAATTTGTTTTACTATTCTGAGGGAGTGGTTGTACAACTCTCCTCTTCAAAAATGGTACTGGGCCTAATAATCACAAGCCCATTTAGTGTCTTTCTTGGGCCAGCGGCTATGTGCGGAAAGGCAAGTGCAGGCGAGGCAGAAGAGCTTACGTCGCAGGAAATGATTGCTCCTATCTCTCGCGGTTTCTTTTTTCCCGCGTGATATTCGCTGAATATCCCCAAAAAACCCCCCAAGCGTTGACCGTTGACATTGTTGTAATCATCTCCCTCCGTCATCTCTTCTCTTCCTTGTTGCCTTGTGGGACCCACCCCTCGCTCATCCTTTCTCGGACATTTCCGTTTGTCAAAGCCCCCAAACTCCCACGCAATCACTCTCACGTTGTGTCCGCCTTGTACCTCACCGTTTCTATAAAGAAGTTCTTTTGCTGAGGATTTAGAGAAAAAAGAGTTTGATTTATTTTATCCATTTATAAATATTTATTATTTGTTTTTCAATTCTTGGTTTTTGTGGGAAATCGGAATTTATGGAGGTCGGCGGAGGCGCGTCGCAGAAGGGTCCGGTGACGTGCGGGGCGTGGATCCGACGACCCGAGAATTCAAACATGGCGATTCTTGGAAGGTCGGCGCGTGGGAATTCCACGCGTTCCGTGATCGAGATCTTCTCCTTCGATCCCAACACCATTTCTCTATCCTCCTCTCCTCTGGTCTCTTTACTCTCTCTCTCTCTCTCTCTCTCTGATGTTCTTCTATTGGAAAATGGAATTATTTGGAACGACAAATATAAAGATATATTTTTTAAAAGTGTTTAATCGTGGATATTTTTGGGGGTTTAGGTTACACATGTGTTGGAAGAAGTGGAAGGAGATCCTGTTTCGATAGCGGTGCATCCGAGCGGGGACGACGTCGTTTGCTCTACAACCAAAGGTGGCTGCAAGTGAGTTATATCAATATTAATTTTCTTGATATTTCATTGTTTTCATTTTTTTAAAATTTTTTTTGGCCGAATATGTCATGTTCTATTGTTGTGTTCATGGAGTTACGGGTATTGCTCAAATTGGTGCTAATATTTTTTTTTTTTTTTGGGGTGTCTCCTGAAACGTTTCGTGTTTAAATGTGGTTTATTGTTCCTATTTTGTTGAATAAAAACACATTAGGGTCCATTTGGAACATATACTCAAATCATGATTTTTGATTTTGAGATTTGAAATTCAAATTTTTTGGAAAACACTCTAGCGGCAGAGTTTGAGTATATTGGGCCCTAAATTAGTGAGTACCGTTGTCTTGTCAATTTCATTATCTTGCCTATATGAATTTAGTACCATGTTTATATAGTTACTAAAGCTGAATATGTTGACTCACATTGTTGTAAAACACCAATTTTCAAAGTTTCTTTTTTTCGTTTTTAAAGAAATAAGAATTGATACCATTTTAAGTTAACCTGCCACTTTGTTGCTGTTGTTGTTATTTTTAGGATCATTCCCATTTCCACTTTGTTATGTTCACTTATCTATGACTCCTACAGAAATCTTGATGTTGTACTTTGTATGATGATTTTTTGCTTCTTTTTTTTTTTTTTTTTTTTCCTGTTGAATGTGCAGATTGATAGAGTTGTATGGTCACAAATCGAATGCGAAGATCTTGGCAAAAGAACTACCACCTCTCCAAGGTGTTGGCCCACAGAATTGTCTAGCTTTTAGTGTTGATGGTTCTAAGCTTGCCACTGGTGGTGAGGTAACTAAGGAAATATTTACTAATCTTTGCTCTCTCATATTGCCACTTTGAAATGTTCTGACATATACCGTGATCTTATCGTCTATAGGATGGGCATCTAAGAATTTTGGAGTGGCCAAGCCTTCGAATCATTTTAGATGAACCCAAGGCACACAAGTCGGTTCTGGATATGGATTTTAGGTTGGTACACTTTTTTTGTTGACTTTCTTTTCTCCCTCCATATATAAATTGCCCTTGTGTTTGAAGTTGCTTTTCAAGAAAAAGTTTAATTTAACAAAACAATATTTAATTATTTATGTAATAAGTTCAAAAGTAGGAATAGTTTTGTTTGGTCAGACCGGAAAGCTGCAACATGATGATTTAAGTTTTTCCATTGCTTGGATAACTCTATGATTGTTTGAGGCATGGAAAGGAATGTGCTGCTTCAGCATCAGAGTCAGAGTATGATTGTATGATAAAGGCAACAATATTTCTTGACTTGGTTCTTCCACAAAACAAAGAATTTTGCTTAGCTTTTTGGCGATCCATTGAGACTTTTTTTTTTTTAATCTTTTCTATGTTATTCTTCAATTCTTTTGTGATTTGAAGTGGTTGGAAAAAGATATTGGCATTTGCCGTATCTAATTTTGGCCTGCTTTTCACTCTCCAGCCTGGACTCAGAGTTTTTAGTTTCAACATCTACTGATGGTTTCGCAAGAATATGGAAGACAGAAGATGGCTTTCCCTTGACAACTTTGACCCGCAACTCAGTATGTGTATTTAGCTAAGTTTTGGTTCTAGTATGGTGATTGAACTCTTAATCTTGTGTCTTATAGTTTTTCTTTTTTTTTTTCTTTTTTTTTAAATCTCTGCAGGATGAAAAGATTCAACTATGTCGCTTTTCCAAGGATGGGACAAAACCATTTCTGTTTTGCACTGTTCAAAAAGGTTTTTCACCTTCTTTTAGTAAATATTGTTCATGTTTCTATCTCATCTTATAGACTCTTAAAATTTATTCCATTGTTTAAACAGGTGATAAGGCAGTTACTGCAGTTTGGGATATAAGTACATGGAATAGAATTGGACATAAGAGGCTACTTAAAAAGCCTGCTTCCATAATGTCCATCAGCAAGGATGGGAAATATCTCGCTTTGTAAGAACTCAAAACTGCAAATTTAGTTTCTGTTTTTGGATTATTGCGTGCTTTATTGATTTGAGGAGTGTCAAGGTTTCTTTTATTGTTCATGGCATCATTTAGCCTATATGTCCTTTTTTTTATTTTTTTATTTTTTTTCTTTTAACTGTAGGGGGAGCAAAGATGGAGATGTATGTGTAGTTGATGTAAAGAAAATGGGGATTTGCCACTGGAGTAAAAGGTTACATCTGGGTACATGCATTGAAACACTAGAGTTTTGTCCCAGTGAAAGGTAAGACCACCAGACGGGCTAATCTTTAATTTACTCCAATGTTGAGTCTTTTAAGTTTCCGTAGTTTATCTTCAATGTTAAGAAATTAAAAGGACTTTGTTTATCACTAGTAAGCGACGATAATGGAGTACATTTTTACGTGTTACCTTTAAATGCCGTAATATATGCACTATTAGAGGGTTCAAATCTCACTAGAGGTGTTATCTTATGGATAGATTATCTTTGATCTTGTTTGCTTTTGTGGAATATAATTAATTTTAATAAAAGAAACGCAACTTAATGTTAAGTGGGTAAAATATTGAATGTTGCCAGAATGATAACTAGTTCTGTAAAATTGAATTTGACCTGTTTCCACTGGTTTGTTGGCCAGAAACGGTAGGTTCTGATTTTGAAGAATTTCGGGGAGCATAACATTTCTTAAATGGAAGTTCATATATCATTTTGAAAGGACATATTAACTTGTAAAAGGGCATGACTTTAATGCTAGAGATTACTTTTCGAGTAGCAGCTTTAATCAATGCAATTTAGTCCATTTAGATTTGGGTGCTAACTTTTGAGCTTTCTTTCAGGGTTGTTCTTACTACTTCTACTGAATGGGGGGCTGTGGTGACCAAACTAAATGTCCCTGCCGATTGGAAAGGTCTCTCTCTCTCTCTCTCTCTCTCTCACACACACACACACACATTTTTCTAAATATTTTATGTGAAATTCGCAGAATGGCAGATCTACGCGCTGCTCTTGGGACTATTTCTGGCTTCGGCTCTCGCATTCTACATATTCATGGAGAACTCGGACTCATTTTGGAACTTCCCTCTTGGGAAGAATCAACCGGGAGGACCAAAGTTAAGCACTTTATTTGGTGATTCCCACTCCCAGTCTTCTTCTGATGATCCATTTGGTCCGGTAGATATGTGAAGATCTCAATGATTCTGTTGTACTCTTAGGAAATAGCTTGAGCAACAAATGCCTTTTTCTTCTCCAAGTTGGTTTTAGTTCAGACATGTCATTTATGAAAGAAATCATCCTAACACGGACGTTCTTTCTTTGCTCTTCTTTTGAGGAAATCTTGCAAAGAATGTAAGCTGCCTTTATGTGTTTTTCCATCTATATTTCTAGTCTTTTTACTTAACTAGGAAGCTTTTTTTTTAGATCTTCTCCCGTACGTTCGACATATTGTTAGGTCATGTATAAGTTAAAAAGTACGCAACGGTTAAAAAAATCTGACATACTAATACATCAGCCGTAGAAAATCTTTTTTTTTTTTCATTTGATTTATATGTCTTGCTACTATTATCTTTTTGGAAGCACAGTCAGTTGGAATTATCTCAGAAATTGTGGATTACGAACGTTGTAGGCAACGATTTTATATAGATCTATTTGTGTTATTATTACCTTTAATTCCCCTAAAGAAGCCCAAAACCGTAATTACCAGAATCTCTTTTTCTTTTCCATTATCATCTTTTTTTTTTTGTGTGTAAAATGAAGGGTAAAAAGAAACTAATCTATAAGCAGTAGGAAAATTATATGCAGTTTTAGGGAGTAAATATGTAGTTTTATCATATTTTAGGTTGAGTATTGTTAAGTGACCATTAGTTTGGAGTGAGAATATCATTAATTTCCATTTTAACGATAATATCTTAACATATTTATTTGTTAATTTAAGAAGCGAATTAATGGTATTTTCATACCCTAAATTAACGGTTACTTAACAGTACTCAACTTAATGGAGTAACGGTCACTTAACAATCTATCCAACTCTTTTAGTATAATTTCGACAAAAGACTGTTGGCAGCAGGTGGAGACGGCTTTCTGTTTGGATTTTAACAATGGAATGAGTAATTTAAGACAATTTGATAGATTAAAGAGTTAATCAAAGGTTAAAAGTGAGTTAAACAAAAAACAAAACAAAAAAAGCTCTAAAAATTTATTGAATGAAATATTACTTTATTCACACCAAAAAGTATAAACGAAGTCTTCCAAAAAAACAAAAAAATATAAACGAAATATTTTGAGCAGATTTTTACAGTGGTTATTAAAAAAAAATGAACTCTCATAAATTTATATTTTCAACAGCTAAATAATTATTTATTTTACACATTTTTTTATATTCTAATTTAATTTTAATTAAATACAACAGTTATAAACCCACACCAATCTAAAAAGATGAATGCAAAGACAAAGTAGAAATGATGTCTGTCTTAAAACAAAATAGCTTTAAAATTTAGATAGCAGATTTTTAAAAAAAAATATTTATTTTCCTATTTTACCCTTATTTGAGTTAGGGTTTGGGAAAAATCCTCAAATTTTAAAAGGATTATTATCACTAATATCCTTAAATTTTAAGGTCATTCTCAGTTTACCTCCTGAATTTTAAAGCTCTCGTTCACTTCGCGGATTTGAGTTTTCAATTCGACTTGAGATGTGACATTTTCTGAGAGCGTTTCACTGTAACAAAAAAAGTTAGATGTAACATTTTCTGAGAGCCTTTTAGTGTAGAAACCTAAAACTGAAAACTCAAATCAGTAAAATGAACGAGGCCAAAAACTCTCACTTTTTCCCTTAAACTTTGAATTGTTCTCACTTAGCCCCTTCTGTTACAATTTATGTTAAAATCAGATAGAAAAAAGAGAGGTTAAGTGTTGTCATGTGGTTCTTATATGTTTGTTTCTAACGGAAATTGAAACAGTTTTACCACGCGATTGCATTACTCTCTTTTTTTCTATCAATTTTTAACAAAAATTACAACAAAGGGGGTTAAGTGAAAATAATTCAAAGTTCATGAGGGTAAAGTGAGAGTTTTTAAAGTTCGTAGGATAAACTGAGAATGATCCTAAAGTTTAAGAGGCACCAGTAATAATAATCCTTTAAAAAAAATTTCCTTATCTCTCTCTACCCGTTGGCTCACTCTCTTTTCTCGTTCTCTCTCTCTTGCTGGTGTCGATCTCGTGAAAGAGATGTGCGACGCCAATGGGTTCACCAGAATCGTCACGATCAAAGTAGCATCGTGCTCGTCGTCATCACTACGGACGTCATTGACATGGTGCAGCCGGAGTTCCTCATTGGCGGCGGTAGATGTTAAGAAATTAGTGTTGAGGTAGTTTGGGAAGAGAAGGAGACATTGGCATTATAGGAATTTTTGAAGCATGATGTATAATATTTGTTATGATTTTAACTCCAACCTAAAAATATGTTATTTTTCTCTTTTTTTCTTTTTTTTAAGGATTTTTTCTGATATATAAGTTAAGTTTTTTAACTATTAAATTTGTATAAAATTATGTAAATATTAAAAATATATAGATTTAATAATTAAAAAAACTTGACTTATCTCAAAAAATCTCTCTTTTTTTTAACGATTCTAAGGGCATATTTTTTTGTCTAAAAAACTCAAAAAAAGACAACTTGAGTTTCAACTTTATTCAAGTTCACGTTCTTTTAAGTTTCAGCTTTATTCAATTTTACTCAATTTTATTCAAGTTATAACTTTAACTCAAGTTATAACTCAAATTCAACTCAAAAACTACACTCAAGTTACACTCTAAAAGAACAACCCTTAAAAGTTTTTCTTTTTTCATTTTTGATTAAAAAACAAAAGAAAGAAAGAAGAGGTCACCTAAAAGTTTATCCGCCTTTAACTCGCCACTGTCAGCAAAGCCTTACGAAAAATGTCCCAAATTATTATTATTTTTTAAAAAAGAAAAAAACAATTAAAAACCTCCAAAAGCAAAGCAAAAAGACCCTCACATCCGTACACTATAAATAACTGCTAACGCAATCCGCGTGTAAAGCTTCTTTCTTCTTTTTTCTTCTACATTTTCTTTCTCTCTCCTTCTGTTACAGCAGTTGCAGAGCAGGAGAAGATATTGGAGATCAGAATATCGCAGACATGATTTGCCTCCAGAATCTTCCAAGGTCACAGCTCACTTTTTTTCTTCGCATTTCCTTCTCTGTCGAAGAATCTCTTTTCTCATTTCTCATTTTCGTTTTCCGATTTCAGATCCTCTGGTTTTCCTCTCCGTAGCTCCGAATTCCGTCGGAGGAAGAATTTCTGCTCCGTTAACACTCTGGTAACCTCTCATTTACCTCTTATCTATACCTTGATCAATTATATACATACATACCTTGATCAATTACACACACACACACACACACACATATATATATATATCAATCTCATTTTTTGGAAATTTTACGCAGCGACTGATGAACACGGCTGATCTACGCCAAAGTATGGCGATCAAGGTAACTTTTGTGTTTTTTCTGCGTTTTTATTTGGAAATCTGTATTTGTTTATTTGATTAAGTATTAGTTACTGTTGTATTTAATTTAATAAGTGGAAACTAAATCGCACAAATCACTACCAGTTCTTAATTGTTTGTGTCCACATACGTTAAAGTTAGTACCGTTCTTCTCTTTTTGTATGTGTTTGTTTGTTGGTTTAATTTGTTGTCGATGAGTCCTGTTTGTTTCTGTGAGAGGTATTTACTATTGATAAAGCTATTGGTAACCTTGGTAAGCATGTTTTGTATATATAATGGTGTAGGCAACTTCTGGTTCCACATCTAAAGCTCAGATAGGTGGTGGTGAGGTTGATCTGAAGGAGGAGAAATCTGAGGTTTATAGTAACAACATGACAGAAGCTATGGGTGCTGGTAAGCTCACTGCTCACTTACTCATTCTATGGTTCCATACAAACTTAAGGTTGTGTTTGGTAAGAAGGAAAGAGAATAGAAAGGAAAGAAAGGTTTATAACCTAGGTGGGGAAAATGAAGATGAAGGTGAGGACATTTCTCTTGGAGCTTGTTTGGTAGGAGGGAAAAGTGGAAGGAGGGAGAGGGTGCGGGGATTAGTTGAAAGGTTTAAGGACCTATGGTTGTTTGTAGGACAGAAAAGAGGAGGTAATGGATTCGGTGAAGGATTTCAAATCCTTCAAAGAATCCCAGTTTTAATCTCTCCTGATATGGAGAGATTAGGATTCATAACACAATAAGAGACAGGTACTCTCTTTCGGCTTTATTTTCCTTACCTAGGTTACATATCTTTCTTTCCTTCTCACCACACAAATCCTAGCACAATCAAAATTTTGTATGAGTTTATAAGAGTGTTGTTGTGTCTTCCATTAGCCTGGATTCCTCAATCCTTGCAATTTGCCTATGCAATGGCCTGACCTTGAGATGACTCATTTGATCAAGCATGATACTCTTGCGTTTTGTGTCTAATTTAGCAATTTTATTTATTATTTGGCATCGGCACTTGTAGTTTTAGCTAGTCATCTCTCTTTTTGACGTAATGGATGCAGTTTTGACTTACAAGCATGAATTGGGAATGAACTACAATTTCATCCGTCCAGATTTGATTGTGGGTTCATGCCTACAGGTAATCATTATTTCAAAAGTTAATTATATGGTTCTTCTGAATGATCGTCTAATCCTTTTCTTTTTCCTGCTTACATTACAGACCCCTGATGATGTTGACAAGCTTCGTGGAATTGGAGTAAAAACTATATTTTGCTTGCAGCAAGATTCAGATTTGGAGTATCCCAAATAATAATGCTTTTATTTTATTGATGGAGTATAAGATTATGTGTATTTTGATCTTGGGAACAATTGCCGACGAGTTTATTTTCATACGATAATGCTTTTATTTTATTGGAGTATAAGATTAGTGTATTATGATCTTGGGAACAATTTCCGACAAGTTTATTTTAGCCATGAAAAGAAATACTATGGATCCTTTACTTGTACTTCAAGATATTTTGGGGTGGATATTGGAGCCATTCGAGAGTATGCCAAGACTTTTGATGACATTGAACACTTGCGCGCTGAGATAAGGCTAGTTAGTGAAATAACTGTCTTTGGCTTTTATGAAGTATGATTAATTTGTTACTCATCATGAAAAGTAAATCCAGTTCTTAATTTTGACATAGTTTTATGGTACTATGGATGTTGGATGTTTTATATTCCCTTTTCTCTACTGTTGATTACATCCATTTTTCTTGTCATCTATGTAACATGTTTATACTCAAAAGTTTTTGTGTGAGCGGTGGTGGATTTGGCTGTGAGTTATAGGTTTGAAACTTACCGTACAGTCCTTTTTTGAATTGCAAAGTCATTATTCAGCTCAATACATTGAACTGACTCTTTTTAGTAAATATGCTTAATTGTGCACAATAATGATAGAGTATTCTTAAATTGCATATTTCACATCGATTCTGATTCTTTTAGTGTTCAACCACTTCTACCATTTTCGGTGGCTTCAGCCTTGTTGTAGATAAGCATTCACAGATTTTTAACTGTTCCTAGTTGGCTATTCGAACATATATCTTTTCAGTCGAATCATTGAAGTGTCCTATCATTATGTTATATTAGTGTAGTTTCTGTTTGTGTTCTTTCTTTACTTTTTGTGCTAATGTTTGATTTTGCAGAGACTTCGATTCACATGATTTACGGATACGGCTACCAGCTGTTGTCAGCAAGTTACACAAGGCCATAAATCGAATTGGAGGTGTGAGTTATATACATTGTACTGCTGGTCTTGGAAGAGCCCCCGCTGTTGCGGTATGCACCAAGTTCTTTTTATTTATCCTAAAATTTGTTATGGGGTCTTCATTCTGCAAATTCTTATTATCTTAGATTTTAGTGAATCTTTCTTATTTGATTTCTGTGGCCAGCAATAAGTTAAAATGTTGATATTTTTATCAATTTACGATGAACCTAGAAGATTATTAGTTTATGAAACTGGGGAGACTGATAACTAGCATTGAATTACTTAGTTTACTCGATAAATAGGTATGGAATCGAGTTTAGGAAATTTGTAATGTGTATAAGGTATTGAGGAACAAGATTTGTGTGTTTGGTTTGGTGGAGAATCTGGAGATATAAAAGTAAAACAAAATGGGAGCTGATGATTTTGTGCCGGGAACAATCCAGGATTTCCAGTGTTAGAAATTAACTGCACTTGAGATAGTTGGTGGAATAAGTTCGCACCAATCCTTGGTTATGCTGATGCAACACGTGATTAACATCCATTTTGTGGCATTTGGTAGAAGTACTTGTTCTTTCACATTGATGAATGCATTCCTTTATCTACAGATGAAAAGTTCATTATTGATTGTCAGACATTTTAATTTTGGTAACTATTGAAATTAACTAGGTTTCGTTCTAATACCTCCCAACAACTCAATCTCTCTCGCCTCCTCCCTTTTTTTCCCTCCCTCTCGCGGCAACAACACACACCCTGAACTGAAATAAATGAATTAAAAAAATACTGAATTGAAGACTGTTAAATCCTTTAGACTGAAGTTAGAGATACTGTGGCTTGCAAGTTGCAGTGATATTTGTGATAGTACATTTACATTTTATTTTTTATGAAATATGACATGAATACCTTTTCCCCTCATTTTTTACATGCCAGTGTGTACTGAAAGGTTCTTATTACAGTTGGCATACATGCTCTGGGTCCAGGGCTATAAACTTAGCGAAGCTCTGAAATTGCTGCTGGTAACTATCTTTATTATCTTGGATACAATAAATTTCGGATATCCTTATAATTCTTGCATTATATTTGTGGGCCTCTAATTGTTCTCATATGAAAACGGGGACTTGAATTTATTTATGATTTATTGAAACTCTCGAGTATCTGCATTTACAGTTCAGTATTCGTTCATAATTCACTAATTTTATTACAAACTTTTCATTAGTTATTAATTTAAGAATATCTACATGTAAGATTCTAGATCTGTTATATGGCTGCAAGCACAATATCTAATATATCATGGATTTCTAGAAAATATTCCTCCTATCCACTGCCAGGTTAATTGTGACACTAGTTAGTTGATTTTCATGTTTTAGTTGTTAGCTATTTCATAGACTGCTCCATATCTTTTCACAAATACATGTGCATGTAACTACATATATAAAGCACACATAGTGCATGTAACTTACATATTTCCGGTCAATAGTCGAGAATATATAATGAGCACTAATAGACCTGAAGATACTTTTTCTAAACATTATTAAATATGCGAATTTACTAGATTATGATGAAATGATTCTCTTGTAGAGCAAACGCTCATGCTCCCCAAAAGTGGATGCTATAAAAAGCGCAACTGCTGACATTGTGAGTTTGATCTCCCTTTTTAATCACTTCATATGCAAATGTTAGAGAAGCCTTGAATATTATATATATATATATATATATATACACATACTGTAAGGAACCTAGTAATTCTCAGCCAAACAACTCAGCACACTCACACACGGTTTCACAGCCAAGAAATTGAGAGGAATCAGGGAATCTTTATTTATTTCAATCAGCCTCACGTTACAATAGTCAATTGGAAGATAAACCCGGAGATTTCGAGTACTCCAGAACTCCTAGCCACCGACGGTGGAAACAGCACAGAGACAACAAAGAGAATTCGACTGCCTTGCCCTAACCTTTTCCTACCCCCCAAATACCCTGATTCCTACTTGCCTTTGCGACGTCACCTGCCTAGCCACTTCCTGAAATTACTCCTTAGCCCCCTACTCTAGTCTTTTTGTCACCCTTACTTCTCCTAGTGTAAACGTTTTTCAGTACGGGTTCAGTACGGGTCTGACAGTACACCCCCCGAGAGATCAACCTTGTCCCCAAGGTTGAAGTCGGGAAATTGGCGACGAATTGAGTCTAGTGGCTCCTAAGTAGCCTCCCCCTCCGGCAGCCCCTCCCATTGAATGAGGAGGTCCAAGTCAGAAGGTCCTCCAACGCGAGAATAACGGGCTCGCAACACGGCTGCTGGTCGAACCAAGAGCGGGCTCGCAACACGGCTGCTGGTCGAACCAAGAGCTCGAGCTCCTCTGTAAGTTGTGACGGGAGGGGCAGACTTGTTGGAGTGTCGCCCCGAAAAGCCTTAGAGCCGCGAAACATGGAAGACCGGGTGGATACGTGCTTTTTCCGGAAGCAGGAGTTGGTACACAACGGTACCAATCCTCTTGGCAATCTCGAATGGACCATAGTAGCGAGGAGCCAACTTCTCATTACGCTTCTTGGCCAAGGACTTCAGCCGGTACGGTCGCAACTTGAGGAGTACCCAGTCCCTGGGCGCAAAACTGTCTTCTTGCCGCCGCTAGTCAGCAAAATGCTTCATTTGTTGTGCATTCACCAATTGTTCCTTGAGCTCTTCCAGCATGTCGTTACACAGATGCATTTGTTTGGTCCTCCTCATCCATCGAAGGAGTGTCCTGAAATCGGTACAAAACAGGTGGATGCCGGCCATAAACAATGTAGAAGGGTGTATGCTTCGTCGAAGCATTGTAGGTTGTGTTGAACCACTACTCAGCCCAAGGAAGAAACTTCAGCCACAACCTTGGCTTAGCTTCAGTGAAACACTGTAAATATGTCTCCAAACAGCGGTTGACCCGCTCGGTTTGGCCATAGGACTCGGGGTGATAGGCTGAGCTTGTGCACAGTTGAGTTCCTTGGAGTTTGAAGAGCCCTCTCCAAAATGAACTCATAAAGATAGGATCACGGTCGCTCACAATCAAACGAGGAACCCTGTGGAGCTGAACTATCTCACGTACGAACAGCTCCGCCACAAACTTCGCCGAGAATGGATGAGCAAGGGGGCAGAAATGTGCAAACTTGGACAACCGATCCACCACAACTAGGATTGTGGCCTGTCCTTCCGATTTAGGGAGACCGCCTGTGAAATCCATGGAAATGTCCTCCCAAATCCTATTAGGAATTGGAAGGGGTTGCAACAGCCCCGCCGGAAGCATAGCCTCGCTTTTGGCACTTTGGCAAACCTTGCACCGAGCCACATAGTCCCATATTTCGTCTTTCATGCCCGGCCAAAACACATTGCTTAACACCCGCTTATAAGTGCGAAAGAATCCTGAATGGCCACCAATCACCAAGTCGTGGAACTTGTGCAACAACCCCTCCTTTTCACTGTATCCATCCCGAACCTGCTCCCCAACTAATAATTTTGCTAGCAACCTTGAACACTGGTCATCCGCCCGTTGCCCCCTTCTAATGTCCCCCACATCCAACAGCCGCGAAATGGAAATGGCAGTTAAAGTCATTGGCTGCTTATCACCCTTCCTAGACAACGCTTCCGCCACTCTATTAGCGGCTCCCGGTTTGAATTGCACCTCAAAATCATACCCAAGAAGCTTGGTAACCCATCGCAATTGCTCCGGTGGAAGCACTCGCTGATTCAATAGGTACCGGAGACTTTGTTGGTTGAAGCGGACCACAAAGCGTCGTCCCAGCAAGTAGTGACACCACTTTTGTATGGCAAACACCACTGCCATCAACTCCTCATAAACCGACTTCAGCCTACTTGTCTCCGATAGTGCTTTGCTGAAAAAAGCAATGGGCCGGCCCTCTTGCATAAGGACAGCCCCTAGGCCAGCCCCCGATGCATCGGTCTCAATCACAAAGGTCTTGCTAAAGTATGGCATAGCCAACACCGGTAATGTGGTCATGGCCCTCTTAAGGGACGCAAAAGCTCCTACTGCCTCTTCTTCCCAACCGAAACCACCTCGCTTGAGCAAATTGGTCAAGGGCCGTGCAATCTCACCGTAGCCCCGCACAAACCGGTGATAGTATCCGGTTAACCCAAGAAACCCCCGCACGTCTCGGACACTCTTAGGAGTCGGCCAAGAGTTAATGGTGGCCACCTTGGAAGGGTCCAACACAACCCCTTGCCCGAAATGATGTGGCCGAGATACTCCAAGCTATGGCAGCCAAACACACGTTTCTTCAAGTTAGCAAATAGCTTCTCCCGCTGCAACACCTCTAATACCTTTACCAAATGGCTCGATGCTCTTCCATGGTCTAGCTATATACTAAGATGTCATCAAAAAACACCAAGACAAATCGGCGTAGGAATGGGCGGAAGATCGAGTTCATAAGGGCTTGAAATGTCGCCAGTGCATTAGTAAGGCCAAAAGGCATCACCAAGAACTCATAGTGGCCCTCATGCGTCTGAAAGGCGGTTTTCTCTACATCGTCTTCATGAACCCGTATTTGGTGGTACCCCGCTCTCAAATCCAACTTAGAAAACACCTTTGCTCCGTGGAGCTCATCTAGTAACTCATCAATGACTGGAATCGAAAATTTATCTGGCACGGTCAATTGGTTTAGAGCCTGGTAATTGACATAGAAGTGCCAACTCCTATCCTTCTTCTTCACTAAGATCACCGGACTAGAGAATGGGCTACTACTAGGCCGAATGATCCCGGAAGAAATCATGTTGGCCACCAATCTCTCAATCTCCCCTTTTTGGAAGTGCGGATAGCGGTAAGGCCGAATGTTAGGAGGATCAGCCACATCCTTCAATACAATCCGGTGGTCGCGTGCCTGTTTCAGGGGCAGCCCCTTAATTTCCTCAAAAACATCCTTGAACCCTTCTATCACATCCTGCAACTCCCTCGGTACGACTACCGATTGCTTACCATCCTCCCGCCCTACCACCTCACAGAGTTCCAACAATACCCCCACTTGTTTGCCTCCTACCGTTCGAGTCAACGAACGAAAACTCATTGGCGTATAGCATAAAGCGGGATCCCCAATCCAACTCACCCAATTGTCCCCACCTTGAATTTCATGGTGAACCGAGACCAATCCGCCCGCACTTCTCCCAAGGTCCGCAACCATGTAACTCCCAAAATAATGTTCGTGCTTCCTAAATCAAGTAGGAAGAAATCTTCTACCACCGTGAACCCTTGTACGGACAACTCCAATCCCCTACATACTCCCTGTTGCTTGAAACACATACCGTTGCCGACCTGCACCCCGCATTTGGTCGACAAGTCACATGGTAGCCCTAGTTCTTTCACAATTGTCTTTGACACAAAGCTATGAGACGCCCTACTATCAATCAACACCACCACCACTCGGGAGTCAATTGTGTCCTTAACTTTCATAGTTTTTGCGGAATTAAATCTCATCATAGAGTTAAGGGAAAGGTCTACCTTCTCTTCCGATTGTTCAGTTTCGGAGTTCCCTTCCTCCTTCGGTTCACCTTCCCCATCCGACTCGTCCTCGGTGGCCAGCAATAATTGAAGTTGCTGCTTGCTCTTACACCGATGCCCGGGGCTGTATTTTTCATCACACTTGAAACAAAGTCCTCTTGCCCTCCGTTGTTGCAGTTCATCCTCAGACAAGCTCCTATAACCACTCGCTCTTCCTCCCCCCAGACTATTGGAAGCGGATGCCGCGGCCCGTCCACGACCGATCTCCCTTCCCTCTCTTCCGGCATTAGATCGAAGGGAGCTCCCCAAAAAAGGCCCGCGGCCACTAGTGGCCTCGCTGAACGAATATGACCGTCTCAAACCCCCAACGCCGTCGCTCTTCCATCTTCCCATTCTTTCCACTGCTTCATTCCGATCTTCGATCTGCTGGGCCATCTCCATAACTTCTTGGAGTGCCGTCGGCTTATGCATTTTGATCTCGGCGCGCACATCTTCCCTAAGTCCATTTAAAAAAACACCCTTGTAAAAAGCACTCGGCATTTCCCGCACCGGCGCTGACAACAGCTCAAAACGGTCTAGGTAGTCCGCCCACCTACCTCAAAGCCATTAGTCTCTCCATCGGATCCCCCTCCTTAGCTCTACTAAACCTCTTCAAAATCGCTGCCTTCAAGTCCCACCATTCGCCGAACAGATCTTGAGGTCAATCCATCTGAACCAGTTCAAAGCTCCCCCTTCCATACACATGGAAGCCACCGCCACCTTAACCCGTTCTCACACCTCATACACATCGAAATATTGCTCAGCTCGGAACAGCCACCCATAAGGGTCCTCACCAGAAAAGCTCGGCATCTCCACTCCCCTTCCACGTATTTCCCCTCTTCCCCGACCTTCCGCGTCTCGAGTTGCTGTCCCCGCTCCCAATCCCACGGCTGTCCTCCCCTGGCCCGCCTAGGTTCATCCTCGTTCTCCTCCCAAACTTCCCCAACTCGGCAGCCAGGTACCCTGCCAACTCTGCCGCCATTCCCCGCTACTCCAGGGTCGAAGTGGTTACCCTGTCGTGCCCCCATGGGTCGTCGATCGAGGCTGGGTTCCCGGTCTAGACGTCCACCCCTTTCTCTCGGAGGTTCCCTGACTGGGTCGGCACGGTGCTCCTAACCCAGATCTAGCGGCCAAACAGGACCACGCCTCCTTCCTCTCTCATCTAGGCCGCGCCCAACCACCCCCGCCGCCTCGTGCGGCCATCATCCGACCTCCGGACCTCCATCCCGTGGCGGCGCAACCTCGTCTGCGACTAGGTCGGCGCCAATCGGACCTCCCCGTCGCAGATCGCCTGGATTCGGGCCATTTCGGTCACGCTGGACCACTTCCCCCTGCTCCGGCGGAGCTGGCCGGCGACCCATGAGCTCTTCCAGCCGGCGCAGTACCTCGTGGACCCCGCCGATCTGATTTCTCATCTCCTCCCTTAACCCACTGATTTCCTCCCGGATCTGCGGGATCTTCTCAGACGTCAGGGACTGCACCACTTCCTGCACCGCCGTCAGCCCCTTCTCTGTCGCGACCAGCCTCTCCGTCTTTGCCGGTTTGGGCGCTATGGATCGTACTTCTCTGATACCAGTTTGTAAGAAACCTGATAATTCTCAGCCAAACAACTCAGCACAGACTCACACGGTTTCACAGCCAAGAAATTGAGAGGAATCAGGGAATCTTTATTTATTTCAATCAGCCTCACGTTATAATAGTCAATTGGAAGATAAACCCGGGGATTTCAAGTACTCCGGAACTCCTAGCCACCGACGGTGGAAACAGCACAGAGACAACAAAGAGAATTCGACTGCCTTGCCCTAACCTTTTCCTACCCCCCAAATACCCTGATTCCTACTTGCCTTTGACACGTCACCTGTCTAGCCACTTCCTGAAATTACTCCTTGGCCCCCAACTCTAGTCTTTTTTACCTCTCCTAGTGTAAACGTTTTTCAGTACGGGTCTGACATATACACTTTCATATTTAGATTGGTAGTTCCCCTTATATGCGTCCTGATGATGATGATTTAGTAAAATGTGCTCAATGCAGTTGTGATGCCTGAGAAATGAATATGCAAATACTTTAGTAGCATATGCTGTTTCCATACTAGTAGTTAATGGTTTGCGTAGTGCTAAAAGTCCCTCTGTAGCCAAAATGCAGAGCTAAATCACCATCAACCTAGTAAGAGACCAGGAAAATAAGACTTTTCTATCCAAGAAAATATATCTATAGTAGTGGTACTTGTTCAGGATTGCACTATCTTAATCATATATATGAAAATGAGCTTTCTTTTCATCCCTAAAGAAGATTCGCAAGTGTTGTAATTTTTTGGTACCCACATTTAAACCCCTGTATAAAATGGCGATACAATTTGAAAGCTTGTGGAATACGACTTTAGAGCCAAGGAAATTAGTAGTCTTCATGTGCAACTTTAGTACTGTAATATTTTTGTAGATTTTATTTCAGTATTTTTTTAATAGTTTCTTCTAGGGTTACTTTCATAGTGAGCGTAGGAGTTTCTACGCGTTTAATTCTTTTTTGTTAGAATTTATTTAAGAGACGGCTAGCACCTGTTCTTTCCTCATTCTTCTTCTTTGCCTTTTTTTTCTTCTCTTAATTTGCTAAAGCAACACACAGGAAATTAGAGAAAAATCAACAAAAAATTGTATTGTAACTTTATCCCCGTAGAAAATAGGGCTCGTTAAGAAGGAGATTTCCACAATTAATGTATTTTGTTCTTGTTAACCTTTTTTTTTTTTTTTTTACTTTTTTTTTTTTTTTTTACTTTTTTTTTTTTTTTTTCGGCTTCTGTAATAGATATGCAAAACCAAGTTAACTACAAGCTGACATTTGTTCTGTACTAAAAACAGCTGACAGGCATTAGAAAAAAGCCTGTTTCTTTGACATGGAAAAATGGCAATTGCTCCATGGTGGAAGTATCTGGAATTGATATTGGATGGGGTCAGGTAATTATCTTTTTATCCAATATCATCTCTTGGATGCTTCGTACTCGTTCTGATTGCAGTTTTGCCTGGAAATCAACCTCCAATCGAACCGAGTTAAAAATGAAAGAATGGTCAAGAAATTGAACCTGTTTCTTGTTTGATGATGTTATCATCTATCTTTCCTCTGATTATTTTCCAGAGAATACCTCTAAAACTTGACCAGGAGCAGGATCTGTGGATTCTTGAGAGGGAACTCCATGTGAGTAAATCACTGTTCTTTAAAGCTACATAAAGTTGCCTTAAAAGATCATGTTCTGGACATGCTTTTCACAGCCCTTTTCTGTTGGCTCTTTGTTTTCCTTTTGATTGAAGTGTCTTTACCTAACCCTTGCTTCAACAGGAAGGGCGGTACGAGTACAAGTACATAATCGATGGCAAATGGACATGCAACACATCTGAGCTCGTCACCTCTGGCAACGAGGATGGCCATGTCAACAATTATGTTGACGTAAGTTTCAACAATCTATCCTCGTTGGATGAGAATGCACTTTTAGTTAATTCTTGCATCTTTCAAAATCGATTCATATGACTAAATTCCTTTACAATTATCGGTGCTGTCATTTGTTTGCTATTGTAATCCAGGTTCTTTACGATGATGATCCGAGTAGTAGTGCTAGTGCAGCTCTAAGGAAGAGGTTGTGTGATGAGGACTCCGATCTTACGACCGAGGAAAGACTGAAAATAAGGCAGTTCTTGGAAGCTTGTCCAGATGATGAGTACCTTAACACAAATGTGATACATAAACCTGTATAGTAGTAAATGATTACAGTTCTTCCCAGTTATATTTACAACAAAGGTTTTACCTTTTTCTACTTTTGGTGGGAAGGAATTGAGAGTGGAAAAACTCTGTACCATACGTGGTACGAATACGATCATGTTTATAGTAATAAATTGATGTTACCAAGTACTTTTAGTTGCATTTTACTGTGGCCTAAATTTTCTATTTTGGTGTTGCTGTGCAACTGCAAATAGCTTTTGGCGTTCAATGGCGAAAATCACAAGAGAATTCTCTTTTTGAGTAAATTAAGCAAACAAGAGGGAGAAACACCTTTATAGTGTAATCCAGTGCTTGAATTAACAACTCTTAGGCGTCGTTTGGCAGGACAGACGGAGAGGTAGATAACCTATCTAAAAGTACCAAGAATTCAGCCCAAAAAAAAACATTTTTTTTTTTTTTTTTTTTTACATTTACAATTATTATTGGGATATTTGTATTTTTATACCTTGTGTTTTAAGTTTATTTAAAATCTATACTTTCAGTTTTTATCTCATCAAATTTATATTTTTAAATTAGATTTAATGTACAAATATGTTTTATCTCGGTCAATAATTGATTTTGACCTTTAAAATGATTAAATTATTCTTAAGAAAAAAGGAAAAAAAAACACTAATATTTTCTAATATTATGATAATTAAAAATTAATAACACAAAAAAAACCATGGTATTTTACATATTTTAGAGGTCAAAATTGTGAGTTTAAAGTTTTTTTTTAGATTTTTTTTTCTTTTTTCTATGTTTTCATTTAAGGGTATTTTAGGTATTTTAAATGTTAAAATCGAGGATTGATTATGGAAAGATATACATTTTAGTATTAAATTTAATTTGAAGATATATATTTGATGAAATAAAAAAAAAAGTATAGTTTTTAAATAAATTCAAAACACAAGATATAAAAAGAGATAAATATCCCATTATTATTTTATCCTTAGTTTGTTTAGGTTTCTTCAATATCGGCAATTAAGTAATTTGATACCATAATATAATTAAGTAGATCAGTTGCATTAAATCTAGATCCTAGTTTAATTTTTGGTGTTAATTAGTGTCTAAAATCATACCACATCACTCCATAATAAATACAAAAAAAATGGTTAAAAAACAATTTAAATTTTTTTATACGTTGTATAATATGATTGGTTAAACACCAATTACAACACTAAAATGTAACAAAAAATCTGAGTTCCTACAGATCCCTCCGAACTGAGAGAATTCAGAATTGGAGTACTTCTCTCTCCCCCCTCTCATTAAAAAAAAAATTCTTTAGAAGATTTAAAATCACTTACCTCCCTTACCTAATCAATTCACTTTAATCCTTTCTAGCTAACGTTCATAAATCCAAATCATTCCACTAATTCCTCCACTTCTATCTTTCCACTTTGCCCTCTCACGGAACAGGCTCTTCACAGACTATTAGCAATAGAGTCCTTTAAGCTACCCCATCACCAAAAAAAAAAAAAAAAAAAAAAAAAAAAGGAACAAACAAACAAACAAACGTTCGTTATCAGTTGGCTGATTTAACAAAGGAGTCTGAGCTAGCTGAGACAAACTAACATGGTAAAGAAGAACGATGCTTAGAAGTCAAAATTATCAGAATTGGTTTCCCGCTTATCAACCAAAAAAAAAGAACGAGAATTTAGGATTTTCCTTTTATTCTTTCAGCTTTGATTGAGATCAATAAGCAGCAGTTCCAAGAGGTCTTGAATATATCACGCAAACACAAGTATAAACGGTCAATTTTAGGCAAACAATTCATCAAGAAGTTTGGCTTCAAACCAATCCACATTAAACTTGGAAAGTCCCAAGTACCTAGAATATCGCACCTCGTAACCTCATCGTGTGTGTATAATTCAACCTATGGGACAACTAATATTGCTCCCACATTTCTACGAAATGAAAAACTTCTGGAAAACTCAAATTCCCATTTCCATAGTTGAAAACCGTAGGGGGGAAAAAAGTACAACGTAAAGAGCACATAATAGTGCATGGCAAATGTGCAAAAATGAGAGGAATTGTGACCGATCAGAACAAGTTATACTTGTAGTTGATGTTCGATATACTTCTGTTAACTCTCTTCGTCAACAAGGATGGTCGAATCATTGCCGACCCCGACATCCATTAGAGATGCCATTTCATCATCAAGCATTATTGGCAAAGGAGAACCCTGAAAATACAATGATAAAATTACTGCCTATTGGGTAAATTCGTAGTCTTGGCATTGTCTTCCTATTTTTAAGTTCTCACAACTTCACATCGCTAAGGATGTTATCTTATGATTATATGCCTTGATAAAACCAGATAAATGTAACTATTTGTTTCTAATAAAAAGGAAGTAAAAGAGAATAAAAATGAAAAGAAAAGCATCAGACAGCAACTGATGCGTGTATATACTATATAGTCAATTTCAGAGGTTAAAAGGGGTCACTATTAGAGATGTTAAATGGGCCGGGCCGTCCATAGACGGTCCGGCCCAGCCTGTAATAGTATTGGATTCAGCACGGCCCGGTTCGCTGCTGTTACGGGCGTGTAATGGACTAGAGCTGGACCTCGGCTTCTCATCCCGCGGCCCAAGCCCGTGAAACAACCCATTCTAAATGCTACCGTTGGGCCCGCGAAGGGCCCAACAGTAAGAATCCGAAAATGGCTTAAAAATTCTCTATAAATACCCCTTAATTCCACCCTAAATCGCACACAATAATTCACTCTTAACTTCTCATCTTACTCTATCTCTTTGATTCTAAGCTTTTTTCTCGCGTTCACTCATTTTCTTGCTCTTTCATTTACAAAGTGCAAGTTCAATCAATTTTCAGAAAATTGCCGCACCAAACTTTCATGATGTTCACTGTTCTTCCTGAGCTTGGTGATGAGGTATTTTTTGAGGATGAAATGATGCCTCCCAACCCCACTGAACCAGAAAATGCTCAAGTGGATAATGCTTCAGTGCACAACGAAGAAGCTGGAGAACGCAGCAGGGGAAAAAGACCGCGAACTTCTCCGGCATGGTAGTATTTCACCGATGAGCCCCAACCAAATCCAAAACCAGGTGAAATGGAAATTCGTGCGGTATGTAAATATTGTAAAAAACACTTCTAATAAAAGGGTGGGGTTACTAGTCATCTGGATAGACATTGAAAAGTATGTCTACCGTTACACCAAGGTGGGAGTGTGGACTCCTGCCAACAAACACTATCACTCACATCACAGGAGTTACAAAATTTTACATACGATGCACGACGTGCTTGTGAGGCACTAACTAAATTTATAGCTAGTGCCGAATTGCCTCTTTCTTTTGCAAATGATGCGTCGTTCGAAGAATTCATCCAGACGGTTTTCTACCCACAATTTAAACGGGTAAGTAGAAACATAACTTGTTCTGATTGCATGAAAGTGTTTTATGCAATGAGACAATCTCATATTGATAATTTTAAGACTTTTAATGCTATTGTCTCTTGCACTTCTGATCTATGGGATGAGTGCAATAAAATTGGATATTTATGTGTCACAGCGCACTACGTTGATGACGATTGGGTTTTACAAAAAAAAAAATAATTGGTTTTCGTTTATGTCCATATCGTCATAACGCATCATCTATTTTTAGTACAATAATGGAAATTTTTAGAATAAAAGATAAAGTTTTAACTATTACTTTTGATAATGTGTCAACAAACAAAGCTGCAATTAATATGTCTAAACGTAGTTTGAAACCAGCGTTTGGGAGAAAAAAATTTCATCAACAGTGTGTATGTCACATAATTAATTTAGTAGTTCAGGCAGAAATTGAACATATCTCATCTAATCTAACAAATATTAGATAATCATTTATATCTAGTTCTGGAGCCCGGCTCCAAGAATTCAAACAATATTGCAAGAACAGTCAGATCCGCTCAAGAAAGTTTCCAACTGACGTGAAACATAAGTGGAATTTCACATATTTAATGTTGAAAGCAGCACTCCCGTATTCGCAACTTATCACGACATACGTAAACAGTAGGAACGATCAACTTTTAATTTTCGATACTGATTGGCAGATTTGTAAGTATTTTTTTAAATTTCTCGAAGTTTTTTTACAATGCTACTGAATTACTTTATAAAATTTATTATCCTACTGCACATTTAGCTTTACATCAACTATTTAATATTTCAGAAATATTTTCTTATTATTAGAATACATAACTTTTTAGAAATATAGTTAAGTTAATGGAAAATAAATTTAAAAGTTATTGGTCATGTTGTCCTATTTTATATGCAGTGGCAACCATTTTAGATCCTAGGTGCAGAGTAGATGAGACTGAATCATTGATAACTGCTACCGCAGAAAATTTAGAAATAGATAGGCAACTAACTATTACTGACGCTAAGAAAATGTTAGAAAAGATTTTTAGTTTGTATGAAGCAAAATATAGCACAGGTAAAAAAGAACAGGAAACTTCGTCGTTAACTAGCAGTTCGGGGCCTAAAGGATCGTCGTGGAGTTTCTTGAAGAAGAAAGAGAAAACGACAGGATCGTCCTCAACACAAGCGTCTACCGAACTAGTAAAATATTTTGAAGCAAATTTTGTAATCGATGACAACAAACTAGACATCTTACAGTAGTGGAAGAACAATACCGATCGTTTTTCAACACTGTCCGTAATAGCTCGTGACATTCTGACAACTCTAGTGTCAACGGTAGCATCGGAGCAAGCTTTTAGCGTAAGCAACCGAATTCTTGACGAGAAAAGATGCAGAATGCATCCAGATATCTTGGAGTGACTAATGTGCGTTAAAGACTGAGAAGATGCCAGAAGACGAAAACAACAATACACAGATGATTCACTACAAGAATATTTTTCTAACTTAAAAATAACAGAATCTTCTGGAAGTACTTAGGTTTGTAATTTACTATTCCTAGCTACTGCACTATTTTTTCCTTCGCTAAGGTTTTGTCCTGATCTCCCCACAGGTTTTACTTGGCAAGGTTTTTAACGAGACAGTCATTTATGTGTACTTATTCCTATTATGTCAATTCAATAAAATCAATCTTTTGGAGACATATGATATATTTTTTTAATTAAATTTAAAAAAAAAAATACAAGGGCCATAGTGGTGTCAAACTTGCCGTGCCGGGCCGGCACGACACGTCCAACACCAGGCAGTTATGGGCACAGTGCAGGACGAGCTTGAGAAGAAAAACTCAGGCCTGCGGCCCTAGTCCATAAGGGCCAAGGCCGGACCTAGGCCCAGGACCTTCACGGGTCAGCCCCAACCCTTGTATTTTTTTAAAATTTAATTAAAAAATATATATCATATGTCCCCAAAAGATGTGATTTTATTAAATTGACATAATAGGAATAAGTACACATAAATGACTGTCTCGTTAAAAACCTTACCAAGTAAAACCCGTAGGGAGATCATGACAAAACCTTAATAAAGGAAAAAAGAGTGCAGTAACTAGGAATAGTAAATTACAAACCTAAGTGCTTCCAGAAGATTCTGTTATTTCTAAGTTAGAAAAATATTCTTGCATTGAATCATCTGTGTATTGTTGTTTTCGTCTTCTGACATCTTCTCAGTCTTTAACGCACATTAGCCCCTCTAAGATATCTGGATGTATTTTGCTTCTCTTCTCGTCAAGAATTCGGTTGCTTGCACTAAAAACTTGCTCTGATGCTACCGTTGACACTAGAGTTGTCAGAATGTCACGAGCTATTACGGACAGTATTGAAAAACGATCAGTCTTGCTCTTCCACCACTGTAAGATGTCTAGTTTGTCGTCATCGATTACAAAATTTGCTTCAAAATATTTTACTAGTTCGGTAGACGCTTGTGTTGATGACGATCCTGCCGTTTTCTCTTTCTTCTTCAAGAAACTCCACAACGATCCTTTAGGCCCCGACCTGCTAGTTGACGACGAAGTTCCATGTTCTTTTTTACCTGTGATGTATTTTACTTCATACAAACCAAAAATATTTTCTAACATTTTCTTAGCGTCAGTAATAGTTGCATATCTATTTCTAAATTTTCTGCGGTAACAGTCATTAATGATTCAGTCTCATCTACTCCGCACCTAGGATCTAAAATGGTTGCCAATGCATATAACATAGGACAACCTAACGAATAACTTTTAAAATGATTTTTCATTAACTTAACTATATTTCCAAAAAATTAAGTATCCTTATAATAAGAAAATGTTTTTGAAATATTAAATAGTTGATGTAAAGCTAAATGTGCAGTAGAATAATAAACTTCAGAAAGTAATTTAGTAGCATTGTAAAAAACATATAGAAATTTAAAAAAATACTCACCAATCTACCAATAAGTATCGAAAATTAAAAGTTGATCGTTCTTACTGTTTACGTATGTCGTGATAAGCTGCGAATACGAGAGCGCTGCCTTCAACATTAAATATGTGGAATTCCACCGTCAGTTGGAAACTTTCTTGGGCGCATCTGACTGTTCCTGCAATATTGTTTGAATTCTTGGAGCCGACCTCCAGAACTAGATATGAATAATAATGATTTTCTAATATTTGTTAGATTAGATGAGATATGTTCAATTCTTGCCTGAACTACTAAATTAATTATGTGACATGCACACCGTTGATGAAAAATTTTCCCCCCAAACGCTGGTTTCAAACTACGTTTAAACATGTTAATTGCAGCTGTGTTAGCTGATGCATTATCAAAAGTAATAGTTAAAACTTTATCTTCTATCCCACAAAACTCAAAATTTTTCATTATTGTACCAAAAATAGATGATGCGTTATGAGAATAGACATAAACGAAAACCAATTATTCTCTTTTGTAAAACCCAATTGTCATCAACGTAGTGCAATGTGACACATAAATATCCAGTTTTATTGCACCCCTCCCACAGATCAAAAGTGCAGGAGACAGTAGTATTAAAAGTCATAAAATTATCAACAAGAGATTGTATCATTGCATAAAACACTTTTATGCAATCAGAACGAGTTGTGTTTCTACTTACTCGTTTAAATTGTGGGCAGAAAACCGTCTGGATGAATTCTTCAAACGATGCATCATCTGCGAGGCAATTCGGCACTAGCTAGAAATTTAGTTAGTGCCTCACAAGCACGTCGTACATCGTATGTAAAATTTTGTAACTCCTGTGATGTGAGTGATAGTGTTTGTTGGCGGGAGTCCATACTCCCACCTTGGTGCAACGGTAGACATATTTTCCAATGTCTATCCAGATGACCAGTACCCCCACCATTTTTATTAGAAAAGTGTTTTTTACAATATTTACATACCGTATGAATTTCCATTTCACCTGTTTTTGGATTTGGTCGGGGCTCCTCGGTGAAATGCTGCCATGCCGGAGAAGTTCGTGGTCTTTTTCCCCTGCAGCGTTCTCCAGCTTCCTCGTTGTGCACTGAAGCATTATCCACCGGAGCATTTTCTGGTTCAGTGGGGGTGGGGTTGGGAGGCATCATTTCATCCTCAAAAAATGCCTCATCACGAAGCTCAGGAAGAGCAGTGAAATTAGAGAAGTTTGGTGCGGCAATTTTCTAGAAATTGATTTTAAACTTGAACTTTGTAAATGAAAGAGCAAGAAAATGAGTGAACACGATAAAAAAGCTTAGAATCAAAATCAAAGAGACAAGTTGAGAGATAGAATGAGAGTTAGATGAGAAATTGAGAGTGAATTGTTGTGTGAGATTTATGATAGAATTAAGGGGTATTTATAGAGGATTTTTAAGCCATTTCCGGATTCTTACCGTTGGGCCTAACGGGCGGCCCGTGACGGGCCTAACAGGAGGCCCGTCACGTGCCAAACGGGAGGCCCGTCACGGGCCTGTTTCACGAGCTTGGGCCGTGCCGCAGGCCTCCACGGGCTAGGGCCGGGCTTGGGCCGCGGGCTGAAAAGCCGAGGCCCAGCCCTAGCCCATTACACGTGCCGGGCCGGCACGGCCCGTGACAGTAGCGAACCGGGCCGTGCCGAATCCGGCACTATTATGGGTTGGGCCAGGCCGTCCATGGACGGCCTGGCCTATTTGACATCTCTACAAGGGCCGGGGCCGGCCCGTGAAGGGCTTGGGCCCAGGCCCGGCCCTGGCCCTTATGGACTAGGGCCGCGGGCCTGAGTTTTTCTTCTCAAGCCCGGCCCAGGCACGGCCCTGCACTATGCAGGGCCGTGTCAGGCCCGGCCCAGGCCCGTAACAGGCCTAGTGTTGGACGTGCCGTGCCGGCCCGGCACGTCACGTTTGACACCACTAGTCACTATATAATGTCTAGTGTGCTACTCTTAATTATCAGGTAATATAGAAATGATCAATGGGAAAAAATTGCGTGAGTGAACACAAACCTCTTCTTGTAGAAACAATTTCAGCTTAATGGACTTCAACTTGAAAAAGCTTTCACAAAGGATTTTTAGCTTGCCAACACAAAAAAAAAAAAAAAAAAAAAAAAAAAAAAGAAAGAAAGAGAAATGTAAGTCATGAAAACAACCAAAGCCATGCCGAAGTTTGATCCCGGGCAGCCTCCTGAAAAAAGTTAACAGAAGCAGACTAAAACAAGATTGAGGATAGACCGTTGTGGTGGCCGGGAGCTTCTTTGTCAATGGGCTTCTCTCTCCAATGGATGCTCCAACACATTTTAGAGTGATAGCTGCATAAGTTACGTCACTGTTTTAATATTTGATATGCATTTATAAGACTGAAAGAAACCGATATCAAAATCTGAAGTTCATACACAGAAGTCCTGATGCCATTTTCTGAGGCCCAGCTACCCCAGTTGAAGGCTTTTCATCGTCAATTCCATGAATTTTTTTAAGCTCAGCAAACCTGCATCGAAGTTAGGTCCAAGTAAGGGATCACAACATAATTCATTGATTTTTTTTTTTTTTTGTTCATTGATTAAAAACTCATCAATTTTACCTAGGGTGTAGCTGCCGGATATCTTCTAGATTGCCTTGCAACTTTGACATAACTAGACGGACATACCTTCAAGAAAAAATAATTCACGAGGCAAAAGGTACGTGGTCTCACCCAATCAATAATTGTATAATACAGATACAACTGAGAACATGTTTTACAGGTAATTCTCAGCGGCAGAAAATATTGAAATATGAGTTTGTTAATGCCTTGCAATCATGTATTAGTGCACATATCAGAGAAATGAGAAACTTTAAGCAAGTAATAACCAATAACACATTTGGTTAATAAAAAAATGGTTCATAGCAAAAGAGTTCGGATGAAAGATTAAGTTGGAAGAGAAAACACACCGAATCTCCGACTCTTTTCTTTCTCGGATGCTAACCTGTAAAGAACATAAACTGTCTCCATCAGAGTTTTCATATTGTTGTACAGGGCGGTCATGGAAAACACATGAAACTAGGTTTACCTCACTACCGTTCAGAATTTCAACTTTTTCCAAGCGTGCAATCAAAACAAACCTCGGAATGTTTAAAATTGGATTGTCCGACAGCCGTATATCCTTCAATTCACAAATGGACAATAAGTGGTATGTTTAAAATTTGATGAAGCAAGAAATATCTAAAAATACAGTAAGCCATAACGAATTTGGTTTTTGCTCGTCATGTACCCTTTGCAAACAATCTTAAGCAGGCAAGTGGTTTTGCAAAATAGAATGTTTCAAACTGTAAACTCACGTGTCGTTATTTCTAACTTCGCTAAGCATTTTGCCTTACATTGGAGCTCCTTAGCAAAAAGACTATTCACATTAACTTACTTGATATATTTAGTTCGAACCAGAGATAATCAGAGAACACACACACAGAGTAAAGCATCACTACTAAGAATTCCGGGAACAAACCTAATAAACATATGAAATTAAGCAGAGCTAATCCACAAACTAAAATCTAATGGATCGGCCTTTAATAGACTACTCGCAAAGTTCAAACTTCTTGCAATTTATTTTGTCAAAGAAATAAATAGAGGAAACAATTATATTTACAAATAGGTTCATCCAATAAATAACATAACTGGATATATACCCTATAATTTATGACAAAATACCTCTTGTTTTGTGACCAACTTGGTTCACAAGTTTAAGAGGAAGAGAAGGCAGAATCCCAGTATTACTGAATGACTAAGTTCATAAGAAAAGGGTATAAAATTCAGTATCTGGGTTTTGAAATATGAATAGATATGACCTACTAATAGCATATAATATTGATTACTAGTACCCATATCCTCATGCGGAATTTTCAAGGAGTAATTGCTACATGTTAAATGCATCCCTCTGAAACGCAATAGATTTAAATAATAGAACAGAGGCACACATTACAAATTCTTACCACTAGCTTCGGAAATGAGTTTAGTGCGTCAATAGAAGCCGGATCCTGAAGATTGTTGCTTCCTAGAATATTTGACAAGCAATGCATTGTGGTCACCAACACAAATAACAAACAAAAGATACCAAGTTCTAATAAAACAGTTCAGAAAATTTACCGAGTAGAAGGCAGCGCATATTCTGGAATGGCTCGTCACTTTTCTCATGCAATTCAGAAGCAATTGAAAGTTCACCAATCATATCATTATCAGGGTAAAAGATGCGGTTCAAAATGTTCTTGTTTAGATGAAGCTGCTCCAAGCTGAATGCAAGAGCCACGTTGTAAAAGATGTCAAGAAAACTTGGCAACTGCAGAAGTATCAGAAGATGATATAGCCGTACAAAACTTAAAGGGCATTCTATAGGATTTTTAATTCTTTTGGTTTTACATAAAAATACATTGAAAGCATTCTATACACTTGTTTATCTGTAACATTTGAACCAGACACATCTAAACCACATTTCCAATGCATTTTTAATGGGAAGTACTAAGTGTACATGAAGAGATACTTGTTTTTAACCTTCTCAGCTGTGAAAGTTTCAGTATTTCTATCCAATCAGCTATACAATTGTCTTCCAAATTCAGAAGCCGTAGAGAATCAAACCCATGAACTGTAAGGAATGACGGAGGCTGGAAGACGAAAGAGAACAATGAAGCTATGCAATCAAATTCAGGGTGATTTAGAATTTAAGTGGAATTATACACAAACGAATAGCAAGTACATCGGTATATCTCATGCACATACATCTATTGTGCTTATGTTATTTCCCATAAGATGTAGCTCTTCAATTGCTGGCAGTGAATATTTAAGTACTTCAACCTACCACGTCAAGAACCAGACTTTAGCAAGTTCAAACTGCAAAAAGAGGGGAAAAAAGAACGAAAGAAGGAAGCAACTAAGTAATGAAACAAGATGACAAAGAAAAAAGGATCATATTGAAATAGAGAATACAATTAGTGAGTAACCTTGTAATTTGGCAAAGTGCAAGAATGGAACTTCATTGAAAGTTTAAAAGATTGTTATATACAATGTAAGCTTATCTGGCTTTCAGTAGAGCCAGAGGTGTTCTATTCTTATTCTGGCCCAGCACTAGTTGCTTGGCTCTCTCTCTACCACGTCAATAACCAGACTTTATCAAGTTCAAACTAGAAAGAGAGAGGGGAAAAAAGAACGAAAGAAGGAATCAACTAAGTAATGAAGCAAGATGACAAAGAGAAAAGGATCATATTGAAATAGAGAATACAATTAGTGAGTAACCTTGTAATTTGGCAAAGTTCAAGAAAGGAACTTTACAGAATGTTTAAGAGCTCATTTGATTCACGCTTTCAAGTCAATGATTTGGGTTTAAACCACGTGGGTTGAAAAAGTTGGGTTTAAATTAGTGGTTTTAAAATGTGTTTGGATGTGTTTTTTCTTTTGGGTTTATACCTGAAACATGGTTTTGGACTTATGCTTGGATGTGTATTGAAAACATGGGTTTGAACCCAAAACTGATGTTTGACCGAAAAGAATCATTTGTTTGGGCTCTGCATTTTCTATTATTTAGCACTATTATTTTTACTTTTTTGTTTCTTCTCTTGACCTACATAGAAGAAATGACCCTTTTTTTTTGTTTTTTTGTTGAGTTGTCACTTTCTTAAGCCTACTAAAACTAAAGCCCCCGACCATCTGGACTGACCTTAGAAGCCTCAAATTTTCTCTTCTCCTAAGAGGCGCCTCTTGCCCGCAAAAAACCCTAGAAGGCACTCTCCGGAATTCGCCAAAGTTGTTCAGTAATCAGGCCTCTCCGAAAAGCCCTCCACCTGGCTTCACCAAGGAGGACGCCGTCTAGGGTTTTTGGCGAAGTAGCTGATTTCAGGAGAGGAGAGGTTGGGAGTTAGGGTTGGTGGAGGAGTAATTTGGGCGCAACTGATTTTAGAAAAGGAGTAAATTTAGGGGTTAGGGGGTTAGGGTTGGACTGCTTGGGTTCTTATTTGGGTTTATACGGGAATCAATTCCCTGAGCTCACATAGTGAATTTTGTTACAATTAGGGAATCAATTCCCTGGTCTCAACTGTCCCATCCGGTTACAAACTCAAAACCGAGTCATGGGCTTCCAAACCTGTGTTTGGATTAGACCCCTAGACTGCGTCCTACTCGATGAAGCCATTTGGAGGGCTTTCCGAAGAGGCCTGATTACATCAGCTTTGAGTTCAAACCCATGTTTAAAATACACATCCAAAACATAAGTCCAAAACCAATGTTTCAAGCTTAAACCCAAACGAAAAAACACATCCAAACACATTTTCAAATCACTGATTTAAACCCAACTTTTTCAACCCGCATGGTTTAAATCCAAATCATTGACTTGAACACGTAACCAAACGAGCCCTTATTTACTAGTTCAACCATAGTTGACCAGAGTAATATGGTCCTTCAGTAGCTAAGTTGTCGAGGAGAAGGAAGCGTATTGTTACTTCAGCAGTTATACTTGATGTATAGTCCATATTCCTGTGGCTAAAATTCTCAAATTCTAGGTATCAAGCTCTAGTTCCATATTTTTTTTTTTCACCCATTCTTCTACTTCCTCCTACATCTTAAATCATCAACTCCACGAATTATTGTTTATCAAGAGTTTTCATACAATTTGATAACATCTTGTATCACTAACAAAAAAGAGGTAGAAAGTGAAAGGTAGATTCAAGGAGAAAGAAAACCTTTGCCCAATTTACACCAGTATAGTTCAAAACCAAAATACGGATGCTTTTTAGTTGGGGCAGCCCGAAAATATCTTGTGCCAATAAATTGTAAGATATATTAAGTGCTGCAAGATTCGGTAACTCTTTACAGATTGTGCCAACATCCTGCAAGAAAAGATCAATTCAGACATACATAAAGGTTGTGAAGCCCCATCATAGATTAAAAATTACATGAAGACATTCGGTTTATAAAACTTGTGGACCAATCCAAACACTTAAGTAGAATAGAACAAAGAAAATACATGAACTCCATTACCAAATCAGTGATGCTAATGAAATCTGCCAAATTGTTGCACTATGGAAAACAAATATATAGAATAAACGAGACCAACTCAAATGCCAAGAAAAGACCACCATTTCTTTTAGGATATCCTGAAAAAGAAAAGCTTTTAAAGACCAAATTGCAGAAAATAAGAAGGAAAATTTCTAAAGATGCCCTCTAGTTTTTTCTTTTCTTTTCTCTTTTTCCTCATGAACACACATCCAATTCTCCGAATATCTAGAACACATGCAGTTTTGTTTACTGATAAACTGCTTTCTAATTATGCAAAGAAACCAGATTTTATGCCCATTTTTGCTGAAACATACCTTCCAGTCTGATAGCAGATTTCCAGTCAAATCAAGCTCCTTTAAATCTGCAGAAAGAGCATTAAAAAGTTATACAACTGCATCGAGCACATGTGCAGAGAAATCACTAAAACATACACATAAAAGTATTTAAATATCTACAGAAATCATCATAGGATTGCCAAAAGTCTTCTCGTTACTACACAAGAAGGTCTCAAAAGTTGGGTTTCAAATCTAACTAAGGATAGGTCATAGGATGAGATTCAAGTGAAGAAAAAATACCTACTATTATGCAAGAGTCATCAAACAAAACTAAATTTATGGCAATGGGGCATTGCTCCCAATTGCATTTTATACTATTCTAAAAGATCTATTATGCATTTAGGATCCAAGCTAAACCTACGATAAAACATTGACTAGCAGCAAGTTGCAATACTTTTATGAAGGAGACTTTCTCAATGAGAAACAAAGGTAAGTCTTTCTGACCTCGAGAAGAGACATTTAGAGAATTAGGGTCAAAAAGACATAGTTTTACTTTTACACTCAGTTCTGATAATTAGTAACGCCTAGTCTGCCAGTAACGCCGCAAACACTTTCATTCATTTCAATTGCTTTTGCTATGTGATTTGAAACAAGCTTTGCCCTTATGAACAGTGAGTGAAAAATTCCTTATCATGTCCCCCCTTATTGTTGAATTAATCAAGCGTTGACCAGTTTCAAGCCTCCGATACAAAAACAAATCCATCTAAGCAAAGAACAAAGCCCAATCCCAACTTACTTGGCAGGACAGTGCCAATATCACAAGGGGATGATCCAGGAGAGCTAACACCCAAGAAAGAAAGTGATGCACCCGTCAACTCCTCAAATCGACTTAGTTTATCCTGAATCTTATCTTTACCCACTAGCTCAACAGATACCCGTTTGTTGCTCGCCGAAAGAACGTACATTTCATCTGCAACACCACAAGTAGTAAAGTAGCACAAACTTAAACCAAAATTTGTTTTGAGTTTTAGCTAATTCTCAATAAAAATCATACCTTCAATATCCTATAGATCAAAGTAATAGAAGCTTATGCTACATTCACATCTAGGCCTTGCTTTGGTAACACTTCCATAATTCCTTTGTTTCTTCTTTGTCTTTTAAGCAATTAAAGGTGAAAATTTTCCATGAAATTAGTTAAGAAAAAAATAACTAAAAAAATTGAAATGTGAAAGTGTTATAACTGAACTTGGACATAAAACGAAACAAATAAGTTGTATATTCTGCACTATTTTCAACAGATTTCTCGGCAACCAAACAGAAAACATAATAGATAGAATTAACTACCTTCTTCTTCTTTAGTGGTATCGCCTTGGTATCTGAGGCGGAGAGCTTCGAGAAGAGAAATGCCGGAGCTGAGATTGTGGGCGCGAACGAAGGAACTGGATCGCTCGGACTTGGCGTGGAAGTATCGGACGCCATTGATGGAGCCGTCGTGCTTGCCATCACCGTTGTCCCAGTCGACTCCGATCCAGACGCCGGAGTAGCCCTGCACGGGCCCCACGTAGGCCACCGTTCCGATTCGCCGGGGGTCTCCGGCTGAGTGGACTCGTTGGCCAAGTTTGAACTCGCTCTCTGCCATCTTTTTTTTCCTTCTACAATAGAGAGATTCTTTGACAGTATCTAATATATAATTATATATTACCAATTTCTCGTTTTTTTTTTTCCTTTTTCTTTTTCTAGGGATCGTTTACTCGAAATGCCTAAATACTATTTTGACCCCCTTCTTTTTCTTCAAATGGACCCTTCTTTTTTAAATTTATAAGAGCCGGTTTAATTTATGTGTTTAAATTAGATAACATTTGGTTTATAGATTTAGAATTATAATTTAGAATTATACTCATTTTATGTGTATTTTTTATGAGAAAAATATTATAACGAACCACGAATCATAATTCGAATCATGACCCGAATCCTCCTTCCAAACGTCTCATTAATGATTTTTTATTTTAAATTTTTATAGAAAAAAATATTATAATAAAATTAAAATAATGAGTTTAAACACTCTAAGACCTTGTTCACTTCGCAGATTTGAGTTTTCAATTTGAATTGAGATGTGACATTTTTTTAGAGTTTTTCACTGTAACAGAAAAAGTTAGATATAATATTTTTTTAGAGTTTTTCACTATAACAGAAAAGGTTAGATATGATATTTTTTAAGAGTTTTTTACTGTAAAAATCTAAAATTAAAAACTTAAATTGATGAAATGAACGAGATCTAAAACACCCTTCCTGTTTACAAGACAGTATCAAAAATACTCTGAAGCAATTAAAATTTTTAAATATAATTAAAAATATTATCATATCCTACATCCTACCTCCTACACTACGGGCCTGTTCATTTCGCTGATTTGAGTTTATAATTCGAGTTGACATGTGATTTTGTGTGAGAGCTTTTTACTGTAGCAAAAAAGTTAGATGTGACTGTTTCTGATAGCTTTTTATTGTAGCAAAACACAAATTCTAAACTCGAATCGGCGAAATGAACGGGGCCTACATATAACTAAAGGCAAATGCTTTTTTAGGGCGGATGAAACGTTTTGTCCGTTTGCTCTTTTTTTTCTCTATGGTGAAAGAGAGGGAGAGCTTGCCTAGAAAAGAGAGAAAGAGAGAGAGGATGGTAGGTCCCGTCTGAGAAAAAGGGAGAAAGAGAGAAAGGGAGGGGCGTTGGGGCCCACGTGCAAGGGGGTTAGAGATGCAAGAACGGGCCGGGCCGGCTCAGCCCGTCCCGTTCTTCTTAGGCCCACGTGGGCCGGGCCGGGCCGGCCCACCAATTATGTGGGCTGGGCCAGGCCGGCCCATATACGAATTACCTCAGCCCGGCCCAGCCCACGTGCCAACTTTACATGGGCCAGGCCAGGTCGTGTCGTGGCCCAGGTCAGGCCGTGCCGTGGGCCTTGAATAGGCCGGCCCATATTAGCCCATCATGGGTTTAGATGGGCTGGCCCATTCAAGGCCTATCTTGGCCCATCATGGGTTTAGATGGGCCAGCCCATCTATGCATGTAATTTTTAATTTTTTTTATTTTTAAACAAGTTAACAAAAATAAATGTTTGAATAGTCAATGGGAATATGAAAAGATATATTTTATTTACGATTGCCTCATTAAAAATCTTGCCAAGGAAAACCCAGTGGGATAAAACCTTAGTAAGAAAAAAAGAGTACAATCAGAATAATTATACATAAGATGTTTACAAAATTACCAAAACAAAGAAAAAAACATAAAAAACATAAAAAACATAAAAAAAAATAGATATTGTTCGTAATTACAATGTATTACACCCAGTGGGAGTATCAGAAATGTCTAAATTTTCAAAATTATCAACCCAATCATCTTGAACTTGTTGGCTTCTTCTGCGAGCGTCCTCCCAATCTTTGACGCACATTACTGCCTCCAGAATATCGTCACTCAAGCGTGCACACCGTTCATCAAGTACTCTACCACTGCAACTAAATACTTGTTCACTTGCAACTGTGGACACTGGTATGGTTAGTATATCACGCGCCATTCTAGAGAGCACGGGAAAAGTTCTTAACTGTGATCTCCAAAATGACAAAATATCAAACTCATTGAAATCATGACCACCACTTTGCTCATTGAAAATGAATGCCGCAAAATTTGTTTCCAGATAGTTTTCCAATTCACTACGTGCTGAAGATGTGGATGACACACCGAAACCAAATCTGGTGTAGCTAATCATACTTTCCCTTGAAGAACCATGTGGTAAAGATGTAGTACTCACTAAAGGTGTAGAGGACATTGTTTGGCCTCCTCCATATTTTTCATTATATGCGGTAAATAAAGTGTTAACTTTTACTTGCACATTTTGAATGGTTATGATGTCAGAATGCACCTTCAGTTTTTCTCCTATACCCTTAAGCAAATATTCAACACCAGCTAACTTAACTCTTAGATCCAATACAGCGGCTACACAGTACAAAAATGGAACACGCTCTGAATATTTTTTGAATTTTTGTTCCATGAACTCAACAGATTCCCTAAACATGTCAAAATCTCTATGCATATCGAAGGTTACAGCAATGTCGTACAATTTATGTAATGCATGAGGAGAGGTGGGATAGTACACACCTGAAAGTTGGAAAGTGGCTTCATAAAAAACCTTCAAGAAATTACAGAAGCATGAAGCAATTTGCCAATCAATTTCTTGAAGCGGTTCAGTTGGATTCTTCAAGTTGTGATACGCGGTTATGACCTCTTTGTATGGTAGGCATGCGTTCAACATCAAATATGTTGAATTCCATCGGTGTCCCACGTCAGTAGGAAGTTTTATGGGTTTCATGCTTGCTCTCTTGCAAAGTTTAGCAAATTCTTCAATTCAAGAGCCAGAACTTACTATGTAACCCAAGGCCATTCGAATATTTTCCAAATAACCTTGAAAAAATTTCATGCCATCTTGAATGCACAAGTTAATAATATGACAAGTACATCTTTGGTGAAAAAGTGTTCCACCATGTTGTGGTTTCAAAGTTGTCTTGAAAAGGTTTATCGTAGCAGTATTAGTAGATGCATTGTCAAATGTGATGCTCAAAACCTTTTCTTTAATGCCATAAAAATCAAAAACTTCTATGATGACATCATGAATGGCCTTGGCATAATGTGGATAAGGCATTGATCGAAAAGCAATTAACCTTTTTTGAAATGATCAATCTTTATCCACATAATGTACCGTTACACATATATAACTAGTTTTGGTGCGACCTTCCCACAAATCAGATGTGCATGCAACATATGCAGTGAATGAACTAAATTCATTAACTAAATTTTCCCTCATTGAATGAAATACTTTCATAGTGTCAGCTCTTGTGGCAGTTCTTGAAACACGCCTATATTGTGGATTATAAGCATTTTGAATGTACTCCTCAAAGGCCGGATCATCAGCAAGACTAATTGGTTGTTGAGCAATAGCCAAATATCTAGCGTGCCATTCTCTAGCTCTTTGTTGGTCATATGACCAATTGATAACACTACCATAAGAGCTAAATTGAAGTGTTTGTTGACGACAATCAACACCACCTACACCATGCTTAGCTTCGCACTTTTTGCGATGCCTCTCTAAGTGACCAGTACCAAAAGAGGATTTACCTGTGTAGTCTTGTTTGCATACTTTGCAAATTGCATGTTCTTCTATTACACCATTCTCATTTTTACGCATTACCAAATCAAAATAACTCTAAACTGGTGAAGTTCGTTGCATTTTTCTTTTACCTTTACGAGTCACATCAGAGGAGCCACCAACTTGAGATAATGAGTCAACTCCAATTTCTTCAAGTGGATCATTAAATTGTTCTTCTTCATTGATCACCAAATTTGAAACATTGGTGTTCCTTCCATGTGATGATGTCATTACTTCAATAAAAAAAATAACAATAAATTAACATAACACTATTAATAAAAATTAAATAAGATAATTACACAATAAAATTAACTTATAACAATATAAAATTAATGAACAACAAATGAAATAAATTATACTTGTAAGTTTTTTTTTCCTTTCGGAAGAACTGTCAACTAATAAAAAGCTAAAATTAAGATGGAAGCACGTCTGCAACATCCACAACGTTTCCACGGTTATATATAGGCAAAAACTAAGATGGAAGCACATCCCTAACGTTTATTGCAATTTGCACGTCCTATCACTTCATGAAGTGCCATATCAGTCTCTCTTTCCC